TAAATATAAGATATGATAAATATCCCTGTTTATTTGTAGCGAACAGTACCAATTCTATGAGGACAGCTATCCAAGAGGTCTTGGATTGTGCATTATCTGTGTGGTACCGTAATGGCGCTACTTTGGACAGAAATGTGGATGTATTTCTCCACAAAAACATGTCTTTTGTAGGTAAAGCCAAGGAATATCCTCAGGTCTGGGGTGAAATCTTAACAGCAAGCATGATTTACATGTAGTGCACATATCCAGGGTGTGCAGATTAAAAATCATGCAGGCACAGCCAACCAACAAAGAGGTGACAACTGCATTACAGACTCAAATTCATTAACATGGCACTATCATAATCTAAAGCCCAAGACCATACTCTTTCATACGTGAAGGGCCGACGGTGCCAGTGGGGGTCAGGTGAGAGACTAAACTATTGTACATGTACAGAGGATACACAGTAATTTCCATCATTAGAGGTTAAACCTTTTCCTTTGTAATGAACCCTTGTTCTGAGATTCACTCAACATATCCCAGACTGTAAGATTAGGGTCACACCCCATGATTCTAAACACTAAAATCCCCGGGCACTACAAACCAGAAAAAATAAATCTTTTAAAGTATACTAACAAGATGTAGATATTTTCTTAACATACTGTAAGAGAAATAGCTAAGGGTTCTTTTGCAGAGCAGGCTTTGAAACAGGCACTCACCACACAGCAATTCATACTAAATTATCAAATTTCTCAAACTAAAATTCCTATTACTGCCCTCTTATATCTCTCACTCTGTATTTGATCCCTTTATCATTTTCAACTGCACAATACATTTGCACCGACCCCTTACTTTTGCTTGAATAATCTATCACTTGTAACTCATTATGCTGGTGACACAGAGTTGGTTAGACCAATTTGTAAAGAATGTGATTTTAATGTAAATTATTTTCCTAAGTATTTTAAATACTTATTAAAGTACTTAAAGTAGTTAAGTAAATTAAAAATGAAATTGCAAATTTGCAAGATAAAGAGGAAGAATATGAATGCAAATTAAATATTTGGGGATCACCTTCATGTTATTTAACAGGGCGTATCTTTAAAATGTACAGTAGTTAACACTTGGTTAATTCAGTAGTGAATCTTGGGAAGCACACTCACATTTGTCTTTATTCAACTGTTGTGACTAACAAAGTTTTGTGAAAAACCTGAAAAGAAAACCACCTTTGTAAAGAAGCCTTTTGTATTAAACATTCTGACTGCAGTATGTTTTTTTGGGATCGAGTGTGGTCCATACATGAAACTCCGACATAATGTTCTCCATTTACAAGAAATCCTTTTTAGGCTTGGTTAAGCAGACCCCTTTCTCAATGCAAGAAAAAGTCCTGTTTGAAAAGCGTTTTGGCTAACATCAATCATGTACCATCATTACATTCCATAGCTTTATATCATCTTAGGTATATATTATATATACAATAATTAAGAGCTGATTTGCCTTCCTGCAATACAAAATCTAGCAACCAGCTAGATCTAGCAACCTAGGAGACAAAATCTAGTAACCAGGAAAAAGAGTTTATAATGGAGTTTATAACAAAAGTTCGGGAGGGATGACAACAACCAAACTTAATCAGACTCAGCTGTCAGTAATTAGCAATCGCTCCTGACAATCCAATCCATTCCTCTCCCAAACGCTATAAATACCGACAAGATCCCTCTCTCTCTTGCATATCTCTTGCATTTCACCTCCACCCCATCTCCACCTCTGCAGCTACCCCTTGGTCACCCTGCATGTAGGTCCTGGCCTCCTTGTCTTATGGCCGAGGGGATCAGGCCTGGGAGGCCAAGCGGGTTAAGCCACAATTCGCTCCATGACGCTATCATCTTGGGTGTTATCATTCCTAGTGAATTATGATTCTAAGTCTCAGTTGCACAAACTCAAACACTATGTTCTCAACTCTCTAATGCTTCTCCGTCTCCATCTGCTGACTCTCTTTACTGATTCTGGTAACAATATGCAACGTTTTCTTAGCACGTAATTAGCCTGCATCTTAACCTCACTGAGCAGACAATAAAGACCTTTCAACACTTCTCTGGACTTTCTCCACTTCTCATTTGATTAACATGATTGGTTGTATGGTTTCATTGATGATAAGGGATTCTAAAAGGTTCTGGCAGCTTTTCAGCTTTTCAGTTTTGTTTGGTTTATGCTCAAAGGTTTATTTGTGTTGACAAAAATAGGTTTCATTATCATTATTGGTGACACATTTTACACTGTAACACTGTATCACACTTTTACTAATCCAACCTCTTAGATTTCCAGTTTAATACAGTACACAGATTGTGAGATGGTTCAAAACTAAAATAGAAAGCATCAGTAGTATTCTTTCATCAGTCAGACAATGACAGTTGCAAACACGTATAAGAATTAATTTATGTAAAGTGCAATGGAATTTCCTTACAAACCTTTCCAAAGTATCAATTAAGATACTTTTTTTTTACTATTGTGTGGCATGCTGTACTCCTCTTTAGGCTTGGTTAAGCAGACCCCTTTCTCAATGCAAGAAAAAGTCCTGTCTGAAAAGCCTTTTGCCTAACATCCATCATACACTGTACATTCCATAGCTTTATATCATCTTAGGTATATATTATATATACAGTACTTAAGAGCTGATTTGCCTCCCTGCAATACAAAATCTAGCAACCAGCTAGATCTAGCAACCTAGGAGACAAAATATAGTTACCAAGAAAAAGAAAAAATATACTGAAAGACTCCTGAATTCCATGTGGAGAAAGAAATTAGTTTATATTCATATGACAGCATCATGCCAAATTGCATATACTGTAGCTACAGATTTTCCATATTTGTTTCTGTCATTTTAAAGTTTTTTTTAGAATGCAGAAAATGTGTACATTTTGATTTACTTTTGGAAGACTAGGATAAAGGTTGGCAAATAGACTATTAGTAGCTATCAGTTAATTTATCATGGCAAACTGGAAAACTGACTTTTACCAAAATATTGTAAGTATGACAGTTCAGGTCTGAGATAACTACTCACTTTATGTTAATTATTACAACTGTCTGTGAACTTTGAAATAGGGAAGTTACTGTTTTTGGATTCTAAGTCTGAATCAGATGGAAGGCTTCGGTAAGTGAAGTATCATAGTTGTCAGCCCCACTTCTTGACAAATTCTATGCACAGGATGAGGGCTGGCAGAATACAGTAAATTGAAAAGATTTCATGTTTCGATGTTGGAGTTCACTACCTTGTTTTCATTATACAGACATACAATATATAAAGCCTGAAATAACCATTCAAACAGTAACTTGTAGCTCAACTTTGCATTGAATACAATGCTATCAGACTTCTGCAATGAGCAGCAAATGAATGTGATATTTCAATGTGAGTTTACATTTTTATGATACAGTACTGTATATTAATAATCTCTGGCTTTAGCACTTTACAGTATATAAAAATATACTGGTTCCATTATTTATTTTTAAATTAGGAACCTCTAAATCAAGCACCTGTATGTGAATGAATCAGAATTCAAAATCAAAGTTCAATTGTTGGAAATTTCTATTTATGGTTTAATTGCCTTGACACTTGTTTCAATTTTTTCCATATAAAGGCACTGCAGGATCTGAGCAGTTTCCAAATGAATTCAAAAGCATGAACAGAAAATACTAAACAAAAAGAAGGATTTCAAAAATGCACATCAAGCAAATTTCTGTAGTTTAATAATCAGCACAGATAGGATAATATATTCACTACTTACAATCTAAGACTAAGAAATATAGTACAGTAAACATGACCCCAGCATTAGCTATGAGACACATTTAATGCAGAGAAAACTGCTAGGAACAGCAAGACATGAAACATGCCTGAAAACAAATTCATGGCTAATTCCAAGGCTTGTGTAGAATCAAATTTATAGATTACTCATTAGGAAGCTGTCTGAATGAGCATATCTGATGCATAAAATTCATTAGCACCAATCTGTGCAGAAGAAAATAAAGTTATAACTAGGAAAGAAGATGTTGAGACAGAATACAACCCCAAATAAGTTGTCTGTTATGTCAATACATGTCATAACTAAGTTAATTTCATAGAGAAGCAAGGGACCTCCAGGTTTTATCAATTCTTGCAGCTGTCTGCAGAACCTCTTATTTGCATATTCGCCTTTTGACTTTAAAAGCCTTTTTCCCTGCTGCAATTTAACCTATTAAAAATAAATGTACTTATTTCAATGGTTTGCTTGTAGGTCGAATTAAATCCATTTGTGATCTTAAAAATTCCAATTTAAAACATAACAAACATTTTTAAACAGTTCATATCTGAATGAAACTAATTTATTCGGTCATATTGTTGCAAAATATTGAGTGCTCGTTTTAACTTTTGTAGTTACGCTTTATCAAACAGGTTCAACCACAACTTAAAGAAAATTCTTTCTCTGTTATCTAAGGTACAGTATACACTCTACCTGTAATCTCTTTGTGACTGCCTCTCCATGCCACTGCCAATCAGTGCTGTTCCTGAATTCATATGGATGCTACTTTTTGTCAGTTTCATTAAGACCAAGGCTTTTGTGTCTGAATGCTTCATGAAGTTTGTTGAGAAGTCAAGCCAAATCAAGTTAGCCAAGTCAAGAACATGTCAGCTTGCAGAACAGGAAAAGACTGTCAATGTCAATACAAAATAAATCAATATGTATTTTTTCCCCTTAGTTTTAACTTTGGCCAAAAAGGTCTTCAATCCACCCCAAGACCAAAAGGGTCTTCACCCCATCCTACATCCACAATGAAATGATTGAGCTCTTTTGGGTCAAATCTTCCACCTTTTTTCAATGACACTACTTGAACGCTGCGGCAAGGTGCTGTAGTTTTATTCCGAGTTTAATGTATGAAATGGACAAGTATTTAAGCAGTGTCTCTGCCAGTTCTTTCCTATAAATGCATGGGGTAAAGCAGCACGAATGCAATGGCAATATTCCAACCTTTGGACAATTCAAAACACAACTCACTCAGGTACTGTCAACTGAAAACCTCAAATGCCAAAGAACCCGAGACAGCCGCTGTTGGTTTACTTTCAGTTTTGCCACATGGGGGCGACTCAGATGTTGAGTGGCAGTGAGATGGATAAGCAACTGCAAGGAATAATATAGACGTTCAGCAGCAAATATACACATGTCTAGCAATGACAACAATAAGACAACAATAGCAGTTCTGAAGAGATATCATAGAGAAAGGTACAAGACGTGACAAGAGTGTTCAGGAAAATGTCTAACAAAAAGTGTTTTATGGTATGTTTATGCTAGAGTTCATGGTGTTCGAATTAAATATAGATATCGGTTAGTTTGAGACATGCACATGTCTGTGTTTAAGTGTCTGCTGCAAATTTCACTTTATCCAAGCGACGGCAGAATCATGAGTCATTGTGCTAATAGTACTGTATTAATCATACTGTAACCCAGCCAGCCTGCTTTAATGCAATTTTGAACTTTAAAGAACAAAGTGATCTTGATTATTACACTAAAACATGGAAATCTGACATTTTAATATGAGGTGTTGACCAAAATAATTAACATGAGCGACACAATGATTTGTCTGAGAATAAGAAATATATCTCATGGATGTCTATATAGATCAGAAATCATTCCCAGGCTCAATAAATCAGAAAGTAATGCCATTTAAAGGCTTTCAGAAAGATTTATTTTTTAAAAATAAAGTCCCCTTTTCTTTCACAACCTACTTCAAATTTGAATAAAACAGTTTACAAAGATATTTTTATTAAACACTCATATTATATATATTAATTTAACTTATAAATTATTACTTACTGTCTATATTATATGTAAGCTTACTTACAGTACTGTATACAGTATACAGTATATAACTTTATATGTTTTCGTTATATAATGAAGTGGAAACACTTCTGGTAAAAATCAATGTGTGAAAGCTATGAACACTAATAACACTGGAGTAACTTGAATATTTTCAAACCACTCCTAAGGAATTTCTGCCTAACTATTATATGAATATGCCAAATACATTAATTATATAAGGTAATACAATCACAAAAGGTTAGATTTACAGTATAACATTATACACAAGTACATTCTATACAAATTTATACAACATTCTATACAAGGTGAAACTGAGCTTAAAATAAAATTCACACACAAATCTAGGTGAAATACAGGGGAATATAAAAAACTAGATGAAATCCATTTTTATTTGTAAACTCATATACAATTATTATGGTCAAGTTTCTAAATGGTACACACTTGCTGCTGAAAAAATGATTTGCATTAAAAAACTAAATATTATTTTTTCAAACTAAAACTATAGAAAAAACAATAGCATAAAACAAAAAGTAGATTTCGATTTTTAAATACTGAGTTAATATAATTTCATAACATCTTTTGCAATGACTTATGAGTCTGAGTAAAAGTATACTGGTTACAGTATTTTAGAAAAACAAGCAAATAAATAGTTAACTGCTGTACACTGCAGGCATCGGAGAGTTGCGTATCTCAGCCGACTGCATTACAGTACACCAAAATTAAACGCTATTTATTCGCTGTTGTATGACACAGTTCCAAGCCTTAATTTGACAAAAAAACTACTTAAATCTTTCTGATTTAAGATTACGGTTGGGGTTATTTGTGTCATTGTACATTTCATTTGTTTACAACCAATTTGTTGCACGTTGCCCACTTTCTTAATTATGGTCACTGTAAAAACTATTACTGTATTGTATACATTTCCCGTTTTCAGTTTACCAGGATCTAACGTTTTTTTTTCCTTTGCGCAATTCAGCGTAACTCAATGCAAGTACAAATTTAAACGATTTGAATTTAAGTAATCGTAATACGGTGCTCCGCGCAGCTAAGACAGGTTCAGGTCATTTATTTCTTTCCTTTGACTTGGTACTGTATCTTAGCGATGCACTGAAACTCAATTCAAGAAGAGCTATCAGTTTTAGTAGTACTCTGACTTTTGACAGTACACTGACTTGGTGAACTAGCGTGCTCCTTTATTCAGAGCGTATTAACAAGAGTCGACAAGTTGGGGTTAGAGTATTTTATTTAAGACCCCTAACAACTATATACAATAAATATGCATAGTAGGTTTTTAATGCAGTGGGTGGACCACACCACAGCTTCACTGTCTGTACAATTCATTACTTTGAATTAAGAGCGTAAAGAAAGCAGTTTTTACAGCGCTTTTCTCTCTGTAGGCTACAGTACATCCTGAGAAAGAATTCAAAATCTAAATTAACATTTCAAAAAGCAGGTCAACTATCTGGTAATGTTGCAATCATCAACTGACTAACATCAAAATAAGGAGCACAATTAAAGTTTTATGGGTGATGAGACTATTTTTGTGACTTAATTGTACCTTTTTCCATTATTGCGAACATGTTAAGTATCTAAAGACCCCCCCAGAAAAGAAAGCACATGCATAAATGGCTGCTATATGCACTCGTTTTACGTTATGTAAGTTGATGCCATCATCCTTTTTATCCTCTTCTTCACACATTACATACAGTACAGCAGTACTTCAAAGCACGAAGTGTATGCTTCGCATTGAAGTCGAACACGGAGCAAATGCAACATAACAAGTGGGCTAACTTGTGAGGAAAAAAAAGATAACTTCTAAAATAACGCTTCTTAAATTGGCTTACTAACTCAAGATCATTACAGATTTTGTTTTAAAAATAGCAAAGCGTATTTATTTACACTTAAGTTACAGACCATAAACAGGACTGCAAACAATAAATAATGCATTTGATTTTTTTTAAAGAATCCGCTCAATCAACCCTGTGCATAAAAGAAAGTCTTTGTCTTAGGCAATTACCAACCTTTTCCGTTTCACATTCTACTCACATATAAAGTGACAACTGTACAAAACAAACCCCACAACACGTAAGAGCTCCACTGCGCCTACCTAAAATGCCAAGTCCTCGGTAAATTTAGGGTCCACTGTAGTTCCCTGCCTAGTCTTCTTCACAAAAATAAAGATGCTCTGTGCTTTCAGATCAGTCGACTCTTTTCTTGTTTAACGTGTTGAGCTGCTTGCAGGTGTTTCTTTTGCTATAACGAGAGGGGTAAATTCCAGGTCTCCTGTTCCATCCACCGTGCTCTTTCTGGCTAACCGGAGTTGGAGAGGGACTGAATCTCTCAATCGCTACTACGCGTAACAGAAACCGAGCGAGAGAGAGAGAGAGGGAGTTACAGCGAGATAAACTGACAAGCAAACGAGGGGTGTGGCTATTAAATGAACCTCTCTACAAATGATACAGCCTTGAATGAATAATTCTTTCTAGGCCTTCTGTGGTGGAAAAGTTATAGTTATGTGATAGCTGCTGGGTGCACTGTGGCACAAATTAACTTACAGTAGTGGTGACGGGGGTAAGTGCATCCAAGTTTGGGAGTGTGATCACGGAAAAAAATCTTATCGGAGAGCTGAAGAGAAGCAAGCGCAGCGCCTTTTGCCTTCACTGCACTTTCACAATTATACAAATTAACTTCGCAAAAGGTTCCAATTTCCGTCGCAGTTCGCGGTTTTACACCGTTTACGCAGTGCGGATGCTTGAACCTAATATTATCAAGAATCAAGAATCTTTAATAGACGCAGCTGTGCTTTCTTGTATCGCATTGTATTGTGAATATAGGTACTGTGTGGATGCGTTATACTGTGACTCAGAACAACTGTAGTTTCTTTATCCATCCATTATATACAGTACATCCTCCTCATCCTCCAGCAGCAAGCTGGTGCTCAAACTAGCAGACACAGTGCACAAGCCTTGACTTTGTATTGGCTGAGACAGGGGGATGACAGAGCACACACATGGAAAATTTGGGGACACCAACTAACTGACATGGAGAAAAACTGTGAACTGTGAGGCAGCACAAAATAATTTTAAGACAACTGTATATTGAGCACATGAGGGCAGCCCCACTACACAGTAGCTTTGGTGCTCAGTCTCCTTTACTAGCACTAAACGAATTCCTCTGATTGCCCCGGTTCTGGATTTTAAAATCATATTAACATTTCACAGATACTCTGTTCTCCTTGTGCAATTGGTTACAGCTTCAGTACAACAGGTAAAAAAAACAACAACATGAGGGAAGCACGGTGCAATGGTTAGTATTGCTGCCTAAGAGCACTGGGGCCCTGGGTTTAATTCCAGACCTGGGGTGCTATCTGTGTGGGTTTCCTCCAGGTGCTCTGGTTCCCTCCCACAGTCTGAAAACATACTGGTAGGTTAATTGGCTTCTGGGAAAATTGTTCTTAGTTTGTGCGCCGTACTATGGGCGTCCTGTCCAGGATGTACACTGCCCTGTGCCTGTTGCTTGCTGGGGTAGTCTTTAGCTTCCCTGTGACCCTAAATTGGGTGAAGTTGTTAGAAAATGGATGGACGACCTCCTCAGACATGTAAGCAGGGTGTAATACCCAAGTATTGCACATAAAAATAAAACAGGAAAACATGAGCTTAACCTTTTGTCACTCATTTTTTTTACTGGTGTGTTAAACAAGGCCCACCCTTGATTTTCCCTCTGATAACATGGGATAAACCGTGTTTGACCCAGATATACAGAATTAAAATACTATATATCTGTATATATTTCAGTCTTTACTTCTAGAAGGTTCCAGAGGGGGTTAATATTACATGTCCCTGGCAAGATAAATGTTCTGCATTTCCCTTGGAACTCTGTTCATTCCTTGCGGATCTGAAGGATTTTCTTTGTGGCAAAGACCATTGACAAAATGATGACAATCAGGCTACAGTGCAGTGTTGAGCAGAACAGCAATCAGGAAAGCAAACCATTCAAACAAAAAAATACACATCTTGATTAGAGAACATTGAGAGCTAGATACCATGGTGCTCCAAAGGGTTTTTGAATAAAAGAATAAATGGTGGTTATAAACGAACCTTTTCTGTATCTGTGTGGTGTTCGTTTGGACCAACATCAAAGTTTCAGTTTCTAAATCTATGCTGGTCAAGGAGAGGGGAGTAAATCTGGGCCTGTTTATCACTGCCATTTAAAAATTACCAATAAGAAGTACATACTGTAGAAAATTCAGGTATTTTCAGAGGGTTAACATATTATGGTCACTTATGTACTGGAAATGTGTTCCTAATACATTTCATTTCTAATACATGTTGTTTTATCTCTCTTCTTGCCATTAGCGTAACTTAATGGAGATGCTTGATGTTCTGGAGCACTTGCCAGTGTACTGCTGTGACTTGATGAAATCCCCTTGGATCCATATGTCCATGTGCATTAGTTTATATGTGTCACAAAAAGTAGCTTGCCAGGGATGTGTGAAGGGTTATTGTGGTAGTCAATAAGCATGCACTGATTTTATTCAAATTCACTGTCTTTTCCTTTTTAGTCCTTAACATAAATATTCTGAAATCATATTAACCTGAGGCATCTACTGTAAATGCATGGATAATGTTTTACCATACGCAATGTTATTCACTGCTATGATGTCACATTGACCTCTTTTTTCATAGTACTGAAACCTGGTATACTGAGCTGCTGAGGACTATTTCGTACCGCTCTGTGTTTCTTTAGAACAGTCATGGTGACCTACTTTTTTGTAGTGTCGGCAGTGGTTATTTATGTTCCTTTTGGGGAGACTTGTGTGTTGCTTCCGTTCTTGTGTTCTTGCACTCTGACTGATTCCTGTTTGTGTGATTTGTCACCCAACCAATGTAGCTGAATTCCTTCAGAACTCTCATTTAATGTACATTATGAAGATATCTGAACAACAGAGAAAGAGGTGTCTAAAGCACGGGGAATGAAAATCACACTTTAGATTTCAGCCTTTACAATGAATTTTAGTTAGTCACTGAGTAAGAAATGTTTCTGTGACCCATTTTAAATCTGTATGTTTTTTGTTCAGTACTTGCACAGAAAGGGCAATGTGGAATTTTCTGCACTTTTATTTTATTGCTTACATTTTTTTTTACATTCCCCTTCTGTATTGTTTTGTTTTTTAGGTAGTATCAGCTCCCCCCACCCACTCTCTTTCTAATAACACTTGCTGTGCATTATTGTAGGCCCCCTCTCCATGTACTCTTGTTTCTTCACCCACATGGACTGGAAACTGCTGAGGCAGGTGATAATGGAACCTCCTACCCAGGATGAGAACTGGCGGTGGGGCCCAGACAGCACAGCCACGGGGGAGCCCTGGGGAACGAGTTTCAGCATCTCCATCTTGAGTCTCTCAGAGAAACCAGGGAGCAGCGCAGAACCACCACATGTTGCCACATTCTTCATCATCACTGCCTGGTGCTCGGTAGCACACTTTTTAAGACTGTTCATGGCCATGATGTGCATGCCAGGTTGTGACACACCTACAGTGGATGGGCAGAACAGTATTTCAGGGCAGAGGAACCGCTGGCTGCCCAGAGTAATGGTGTTTCCATCTGGAAGCAGGTAATCCATCAGGTAACCTTGCTCTTCTGACCTCAACTCTTCGCCTAAGTCCTCTGACACATAGCAGCATTTCTCCTTCATATCCTGCACTATGGATATTTCCTTTGAGCTGAAACAATGTCCTGCCTCTGCCGCCAGCTTGCTTAGGTGTTCATTTAAGGCCTGACCAGCCAGATCGAGACGGGAGGTGGCATGGGGCAGACAGTACCCATTATAGACAGGGGAGACATAAGTGCAACCAGATCCAGAATCCACAACCAAACCTGTGAGTCGTCCATAGGAGTAGATGGACAGCACAGACTGGGGAGCTAAGTAAATGGCTGGTACCTCAAATCCTTCGAACAGAACTTCTGCAGTCTTCTCCCGGTTGGTGGAAGGAGTGTAAGGAGGGTCTGTCACTAAGATTCCATGTTCCTCAGGGCAGACTTGCAGCTCATGGTAGAACACATGGTGCCACAACTTTTCTAAGGCATCCCAGTCGGTCACAATACCATGGGTGATAGGCTTTTTCATCACTAAATCCTTTCTGGGTATGTTGTGTCCAATGTAGTAATCCAGTTCTTCGCTCTTTTTTGTATTCCATCTGCTTCCTATAAACATACCAGTAGAGGACTTGATCATGGTTTGGGGTCTCTCATCCCCAGAGAATCCAGCTTTAGTGTAGCCAGATCCAGAGTCAAGTACAATAGCTACGGTCTGTTTGAAATCATCACCTCTGTCTTCAGAAACTACAGCTGACTCAGAAGAAGCTGTTGTATGTTGATTGGTGGCTGGAGTTCTCGCAGACATTAGGCCTCTTGTTCAGGTTACTTTCACTTTTTTGTCCTTTATGTATTTATTTTAATGAATTTCTTCTGCTGTGCAAAGACAACAGTTGGGTTTTGAAGGATACTACAGTATCTCTTGGTAGCTGTGACAACCAACCACATCATAATGGCCCACTAGCTAATACAAGGGGTACCGGCAAAGGTGGGGTATCCTTTGTTGCCTGTGATGTCACAAGTAAAACTAATGATGCAATTCTTTTCAAAAACATTCCAAAGTACGAAGGCAAAAAAAGAGCATGCTCTAAAATAAACAGGAATTTTGATTTAAATATTAGTGAGTGAGTGTAGTTACATCACAGCTCAATGTTACAATCCCCAAAGTCATAAAATGCTGAATCAAATGTATAATTATTTCAGAGTATGTAATTATAGCTTTGTTTAATATTACTTTGAAACATGATACTTCAGTGGTCAAATATCACCCAAAATAATTGGTTATATCTTAACATTTATATAACACTACAATGAAGCTACAATTAAAATTGTGTATTAGCATTTTATTTGGAATTTCCTTTTTGAAATAATGAGAAGATCTCATTTTCCGTGAATATAAAAAATACAAATCAACAGCTATAGAAGTAATAGAAAAAAAAAAACTAGAACTGTATACTGGGTAATAAGGATTTAAATAGTTGCCAGAGATGTGGGGAACTACCAACACCTTGTGTGATCACCTGCTGAAGTGCTAAGTAATGAAACTCTCAAAGAGACAAGGATGTTCTCACACGCTTGTTATTCTGGGTTTCACTGTTATTAACACTTTACTTTTAGCCTGCTCTGCAAAAAGAGTCCAGTGATTTTCCAAAGAAATCCTGAGAGAAAGTTCCTAGGATAGAAAATTCTAACCACAGCTTCAATTGGCTGAATATCCTGTGATGAGGACTAAATGTAACTTTATTTGTATGAACAAATACTGATCCCAGCATTGACTATTACCAGGGTGCATGTGCACAACACTTTTGCCTTTTTAAGATGATATTCCTGACTGATTCTTGTGCCACGCTTTTAATTGAACTGGCAATGGTTTACTTTACTCGGGCGGACCTGTGATGATGTGGTCAGCATTGTTCCCTTGTTCCCTGGGGCTCTGAGATCAGTTCCTGGGGTGCCATCCACTCAGTGTTTACTGTATATGTTCTTCCTGTGCTCGCTTGGGTTTCCTCTGGTTACTCTGGTTTCCTTCCACAGTCCAAACATACTGGTAGGTAACTTAGCGTCTGTGAAATTGGCCCTGGTGTAAGTGTGTGTTTGTGTCTGTGTGTGCCCTGTGACAGACCAGTGACTTGTCCAGGGTGTACAAGACTGTCTTGTGCCTGTCACTTGCCAGGATAGACTCTGGCTCCCCAGTCACCCTGCACTGGATAAAGAGGCTTTGAAAATGGATGGATCGTTCACTATTGTCTATATTTTGTTTCACCATGGTATTATTGTCATATAATCCATCCATCCAGGGTATCAGCACCACTGCATTTCTGCACAGCCCTGGCCATATAATTCATTCTGTAACCAGATGATTAACAAAATGTAAATAACCTAGTAGTCAATTATCCATCTTCATGCTTAATAACACATTTATTAACAGTTCTCTGATTGTTTGAACAGACTCAACAAATATTTTGTTAATTTCAAAATGCCTATTGTGCTTTTACTAGGGCACAATGCAACATATCTTTCTCATTACAAAAAAAAAACCTTAATCGTGTACCCTTACTCAAAAAAAATAATTATTTTTTTTTAGAAAAAACAACGCCTGGACTAGTTTTAGCAATGCATGTTCATGCAATCAAGGAATCCAGCCGTACGTTCCTAACCATCCTCCCTATTCACCAACATGCAGCCTCTCTCTGAGTGCTTCTTTTCCCCTAAAATGGTCAATTAAACAATCAGTTAACTGACTCACACCCACCTCCTGCCCTCCCGCTGGCTCCAGAGACTCATTATTTCAATACGTTTCCATCATTAAAATGCCCTTTCACTTAGCAGAAGCACAGAATTGTGTTGTTTTGTTTACAGAAACAGCATTAGTACCGAAAGACATGTCATGTGCTAAACAAGCACTCTCATTTGTAAGAACCCCAGTCACTTTGTTCTACTTTCTAAAACGAGATAAGTAATACAGATTCCATATTAATGCTGCAGGTGTACAACATAAATCGGCTCACTTTCAGTCTTGTAGTATTAAATTAAAATGTAGTTTCAGCTAAGGTATTGAATTTTTAGATGGAGTTGTTAGAAACAAGACCATCACTGCAGTATGCCACTTTATATTTGAATGAATTAAGGCAAAGTTGAATGCAGGAGTATTTCGGTACGATTTTTGATCCTTCATGCCTGGATACAAATCAGGATTAAATATTGCGGCTGCAAATTCATGCCTTTACGTGGTCAATAAATCCACAGTCTTTCTGTACTTACAGTATGTATTCACAGTCTGTATGAGTGGAAGTGTGGCATAACATTCTTATATGTTCGTGGGATTAGATATATCAAAAAGAAGTGGTAGGTTAACTGCAGTATTAATGCTGTATTTTACCAGCCCAAACCGCTAAATCATACTGGATAAACTGTAACACATGGGAAAATACATAGTAAAGAAGGGGATCATAGGAGTCTCTGACATCAATGACTACATTTGTGCTGTTATTAAGCTGGCTGTGGTGAGCTGAAGAAGAAAACTGCCCACAGACCTTGTTGCTGAAACTTAAAAATGTGTGAAAAGCAGCCACTGAAACAAATTTTAGTTTTATGAATTAGAAACCTAGTGAAAAAAAAATCTGAACTACCTTTTCATGACATGCAGAATTTGGCTTGTTTGAATGAATTTCCGTACAATAAACATTGGAAATGAGTATTTGATTCACCTGGAATACCAGTGGCTTGGCATTGATGTCAATTGAGTTTATTGCTGTATTCAAGCTTTGTTTCAAAATAAGACTGTTAGTGTTAATGTAGGGAAAACAGGAAAGTAGAACGTGAAAAATGTTCAATACCTTTGTATTTACTGAACAAGATTATTGGGCAGTGACGGGCTTTGAACCACATATGGTTTGTGTGCAACATATTTTAAAATTGCAAACTAATTTGCTCTTTGTGTCAAGAACTTATGCTGCATTTGTGAAATACTTGGCTGAGCTTTGTGAATTTCTTTTTTAGATGCTAGGTCCTATTTCCATTGGCTCTGCTGAGAATCAATACACCCAGAGTCAATCTACATGCTCAGAAAGTGTTACAGTGTGGAAAAAAAGGCACATCCTTTTATCTTTTTAGTGTACTTATCCAGGAATGAAAATCTTCTTGAGCTGATACCATGACTCCCTAGAAATTCACCTTCTACTAGAAGTCTCTGCAATGCGAAAAACAGAAATAGAGAGAGATTAAATGTATAAAATGTATAAGAAAAATAATTCAAAATCTCAAGGCAGACAGAAAAATCAATCATTATGATATTATCTACAGTGAAACACAACAACAGAAGCCAGACAATTGTAAGCACAATAAAGTGTGCTGTGCATCAGCGTTCTCTGATATTCAGGGCAGCAACTCTTACAGACCTTGAGTTCATTCACTGTGATTAACTGTGTTTTCAGTTGTTTAGAAAGAACATCCTTAAATAATAAATCTCTCACCTGGTCTCCACAAGATTGTCTGGTCCTTGCTGTGGTTGAGATTATTTACATCAGTATGTCATAGACTTCATTTACATAGCATTATCAATAGGCTTTAGGGAATGATGCTATGCTCAGAAACTACTTTAAAGTTGTTTTAAAATACAAGATCCGATTTGGTTTCCAATCCATCAGCATTCTTCCTTTCTTTACAACTCACATCTTCCAGCAGCTGCCCGATTTGATTTAGACACAGTATATAATTTCTTGTGTGTACTATAATGGTGCATTGGTTGGCATTACTACTGTACCTCACAACGTTGGTGCCCTGGGTTGAACTCTGGGGTGCTATCTGCTTGGAGTTTGTTTGTTCTCCCCTTGTTTATGTGGGTTTCTTCTGGGTGCTCTGGTTTGTTCCCATGGTCCAAAGACATACTGGTAGGTTAACTGGCTTTTGAGAAAATTGGCCCTAGTGTAAGTGTGTCTGTGTGTGCCCTGTGACAGACTGGTGTCTTCTCTAGGGTGTATCCTGCCTTGAGCCTGTTGCTTGCTGGGATAGGCTCCGTCTCCCCCATGAACCTGTATTGGATAAAGTGGTTAGAGAATGGAAATTAACTGGAACATAAATAATGCTTGCCAAAAGTCGTGCACCCTCAATATTCCAACACTTTCCTTTTTTGTTCGTTTTAGTAAACCCGTCTGTAGAATAGATAATTATTTCAAAGTCACACCCTAAAGAATAATCGAAACTGAATTTAAATATATTTAGCTTCATTGAGGGTGAACCTGAAAGCTGGGTGTTTAACATGTAGGGAGTATCATAAGAAAGAAAGATGACAGTGTTAAACAGAACCAGTTAATTATATTGAAAAGCCATGGCGCAGTCCACTCTTCAATTAACTGAAAGACATGTGGCTAGAATTTTGATAGAATATAATCTGACATTTTTATGTCAGTTTGACAGACTTAATTAGACAGCAACTGGGTTATCAGTATAATTAAGGCATTTTCTATTTCATAGAATTCTTTCTTTAATAAAATAACATATATTCTTGGGTCAATTATATACATACTGTATATGATACACTCAATTATATTTTGGAACCAGATTAATATGACATATTTCTTCTTTGTCAGCCTTCTTCTATTACATCTCAGTTCAGGATTGAAAAAATTTTACCTACAAGTCTAGCCACTCTCCTTTCTAATTACAATTCAAAACTGGAACAAAGGAGTCCATCAGGACACTTGCAATCCTAAATTGTAGTGAGAAAGTAAATAAAAAATTTGGACCCCATGACACAAGTGGAAGCTAAGAAGGAATGCATTTAAGACTGAGATCCGGAAGCAACGTCTATAGAAAATATTATGGAAAACTGGAAAAAAATGGCCAAATACAGTACAGTATGTTATGGAATGAGCCGACGTGAACCAACTGCCCTCCTCTCGTTTGAAACCTTTTTATATTGT